TGTCGTCAGCGTCACGAGCAACACAGAGAAGAGGGATAACATCAGATAACAGCTGGTGTGTGGAGCGTTCTGGTGCACTATGGCTGCCGTCGCATCATCCAGGTGGGGGCTGCACACTGGTGGTGGTGGAGGGGATCCCCATTACCTGTAAAGCGCTTTGAGTGGAGTGTCCAGAAAAAGTGTAAGCAATTATTATAACTGCATGAGCAGAAGCACTGCAGACTCACAACACACTGCAGGACTTTTAATCTCATGGGTTTCCACTCCATTCCCCTTGTAGACCAGCCGCTGAATGAATACGTCTGAGATCATAACTATTTACAAGCTGCTTGAACAAAACAAAGACTAAGAACTGGTTGTACACATGGAGGATGAAGACCAAAACAAATATGCAGGAATAGGAAACGATTGAATTAAAACTTCATACTTATGTAGCAGCTTACTCAAAAGATTGAGGAGATGGGTCAATCTCCTGATTTCATTAAATGACCAGAGACTGTGAGTCTAGGTTTAACACCATTTAGAAATATAAAGGAAAATTAATCACATAACCAAAAAAATCCACAGCCCTCCTGGTTAGAGCATAAGTGTAATAACAGGCGTCAAAGATGAAAAACTTTAAAAGGCATTTTTTGGTGTGATTAAAAATAAAATATTGAAAATATTTATATTTATATCACCTATTTATATCACCGATTTCATGTGCTCTCAATTCTTTAAAAGATCCAACATCTGAACTCTTCACTAGAAGTAGAAAATGCATCTTACTTTATCCTGATGCAAAATATCTGAGACAAAATTGTTCAAGTCTATCTTCCTGAAGTATAAAGAACTGTTATTTGTGCTCTGTACTGAAACGGAAGCACACAAGGAAGCTGGCGATGTAAAAAAACTCCCGATCTGCGCCTCACCTCTTGATGCTAATGACAGCTGCGCTCTGGCCAGCTTTTTTCAACACCTCATTCCACTCCTCGTCGTCCCCCCTGATCATGTACCTGCAGGACGGAAGTTTCCCGTTTACTTTCATATCATGGCAACCACAACACACACACACAAGCTCACATTCACAAGCCACTTAACACTTAATGCCTTCACTTGTAAATGACGTAGCTGCTGTACGAAACTAAGAGGTTAAACAACTTCATCCTAGATACATTATGTGTGGCGTCATCTTGAGTAAAAGACTGGAGTAATTGACAAACATTGCCTGTTTATAGCCGAGGCAAAACTACAGCTCTACAAGTTAATTCTCCTACGATGGATTGCACACAAACACACACACAAAAAAACTGTTCCTGCAAAACAATTATAAAAGCTCCTTATTCACAAAAGGTAATAGAGCACAAAGAATTAAAATCCCACCTTCTTTGTCACTGGTGTCCCAGGACTAGGTCAAATACACTGTAATGGTCAAGCTCCCCAGCAATAATAGCTTCTCGTATTATTACATATTATATAATGCACCTATGTCTACAGTCAAAGGAGTCAAACCAATTAGGGCCAGAATTTGCACAGTCGACTGTGTTTCTCATCATCTTCACTAACTGAAATCACTGTCTCTACATGACAAAAAGGGCTGCTGTTTCGACTCGCACTATTTTTCAAAGCTTAGAAATAGCATCAATGTTGCTTTCCT